CGGGGGGAGGCAGTGAGGTGTCCTTTTGCCCTCTGAGCAGTCGGCCCTGTTACTAGCTTTTCTGCTTTCCTGCTATTGTAGCAGGAGGCCAGGTTCTTTTTCTTCTTTCTTCGTCCTCTTTCCTTTGTGTTCCCCGGGCATGGAGCTAACTCATTCTGGCATCTCCACCCACTGGGTATAGACCAGTGCATGGTGAATGGCTTTACCTGTGGTGTGCCCTGACCAGCTGGGTGAGCTGGGACAGGCAGCCTCACTGCCCTGGCCCACATTCCTCTGCAGAGTGGCACCAGCATCTTCATGCCTGGCCCTTCACACACCCCTCCCCCTCCTGTCCCAAGGTCTCTCCACCAAGAAGCCCACCCGGCTGCCTCTGCTGCTCATCCCCTGGCCCGTGGGCACCAGCTGCCCAAGATCTTTTCAAGTCCGCCAGCTGCCCCTCTCCCAGTCCCCACCCTCACAGGGTGATCATGCTGGGGACTTTCTTAAAATGTGCCCTTGTTGCCTAAGTTCACAGTCAGCCTGATCCCCTTATGCCTCCGCCACCTCTGCTCTTATCTGTTTGGTCATTCCAGAATGTTCTCTAAAAACCTTTGTTTCTACCGAATAACTTGGGGCTTCGCCTCCTGTCCCCTTTGTTTCACTTCATACACTGCTGGCAGAATCTGAGGTCACGTTTCTCTTTCAGTCTTGCCGCCATGGTGCTGGGCACAGTCTGGGGCCAGTCAGAACGTGTCATTTTGTGGGGAAATGTGTTCTTATTTGTTTTTACTTAAAGATTGTCAGTGTGGGGGAGGGGAGATCAGAATGAGGAAGGCACCTCACTGAAGTGCAGTGAGGCTGGTGACCCAGTCAACACTGGGTCTGTGGGAAGCGGGGGTGTGGGCTGCCAGCCCCTCCCTGGGGTGTCTCTGATGGCTAGGCACCCCCCAGCCATGCGAGGGACGAGAGGTAGAGCCCAGACCGGCTTTGTTCACCTCGCAGTCATTCCCGAAAGGACTCAGGAGAGGGGTCTTGACTCACTTTACCGCCTCTTGCAAAGATGAGCTCCCCACCCCAGTTTACATGAATGGTGTTTTCATCCGGGTGTTGTAGCAGATGCCCATTGGGTGTTTCCAGACACCACACTGCTCTCCTCATGGGGAGAGGGCTCGGCTACGTGGATGCCTAGAGCTGTCTGGACAGCATCTATCTCCTCTGTGGTGGTGAAGGTGTAATGGGTGAAGGTGTGAGGCAAAGAACTTCCTGGAGAGAGTTCAGGGACTGCAGAACCCCTGCAACCAGAGAGCCCCTGGCCCATGAGGAAGAGAGGGGGCGGGGCTTTGAGCCCAGCATGGCCTCTGGGCATTTTTATGAGCCTTTCTCTGCTCTCACTTGTTCATTCTTCATCTCAGAGGTGGGGGAAGTAGGGGTCCCTAACTCCTTTTTTGCTGTGGGCAGGTGAATAGAAAGAGGTTGGTGGCCTCACTGGAGATCACACTGGTCTACCCTGCCCCCCTCCCTCTTACTGACTGGTGCTCCCCTCCCCCAAAACAAACCTTCCTTCTGCCCAATCTGAAGCCAGGCGCCTGTCCTCCCCTCCCCGCCCCCTTTCCCCAGCCCTCCCCATCTCAGGAAGCAAGTGTGCAGGTAACAGGTGCTGCAGCCCGGAAAGCAGTGGCAGTGGCAGTGGCAGTGGCAGTGGCCTGCTGGGTGGCAGATGTGTTGCAGAGAAAAGCCGGACAAGCCGGTTCCTGCCACTGTGCGGCACCAGAGAGCTGAAGTCGTGGGTCTGAGGGGAGCATTGTCTGAGATGTCTGCCAGCTTCCAAGTATGCAGCTTTGTAAAAGTACAGCGGCTTTTTGAACATAGTTTAAAAGTTGATGTTAAAGAAAACAACAAAACATTTAAAAAGCGATCCTTTCAGAGACCCCAGTGAAGAAGCAGGACTCACAGGTGGGCTCTAGCTCCCTGACTGCTGATGTTTTTCTGTAAAATAGTTCATTGGTGCCTCTGTTTTGGTTACTTCTCCACTTGCATGTCCTCCCCACATCTTGATTAATAAATGCCCCCAGGTGCCAGGTGGGGTCCCCGGGCATGCTCGGCGGACACTCTTGAGCCTTTTCTGGGAGCCCGTCCTTTTTCTTTTTTCTTCCCTTGGGCTGCACACTTTATTGTTGTCTATGGGAACTCTACCTCCTTCCCCCTGAGAAAAACATTTTTTAATGAGTAACAGAACTGGTTTCTGGGTTGCAGCACTGAAGTTGCTGAGTTGAAAACTAGAGCTGAGTTTGCCAAGTAGATTTGTCAAAGCTAAAAAAGGAAATATGTGAACTTGTTTGTCAGAAATATGTTTTGAAGGCTTTTACACAAAGGAATGGGCTAGAGAAGAAATTGGTGGGGCCTGATCGCTTCCAGGGTCCTGGACGGACCTCCCCTCCGTGACTATGACTTGGGAGTGGGTGTCTGGGCTGGCGTGACACTGCCACCCCTGCTTCCTTGTAGCCAAGTACATTGTGCACGTGGATGGGAAGATCGGGCTGTTCCGAGGCCTAAGCCCCCGACTGATGTCCAACGCCCTCTCTACCGTGACCCGGGGCAGCATGAAGAAGGTGAGGCCCGTTGAAGTCAGCAGCAGTTGCCAAGGTTCCCCTGAGCTCCCGGCCACCCCAGAGGCAGCCATGTGCACTGCTCCAGCTGCCATCCTCCCCAGACTGGTCGGGCCTCCACCCCAGCACCATAGCCAGGCTCCAAACCCTGGTGGCCCCACACTGACACTCGTTGGTCGGGAGGGTTCCTGCCCCACAGTCTTCCCGCTTTCCCACGGCTGTGACACCAGGCCCCAGCCCTGGGGGTTACCTGAGGCTGCTGGCCCAGCCAGTGTCACTGCAGAGAAAGTGGTAGGAGCTGCTTCATGCCGCTTTGCCCCACGAGTTACAGTAAGAGGCTCTGTAATTTGCTTGGCCCTCCTTCGTGTTTTGTCTCAGGTTTTCCCTCCGGATGAGATCGAGCAGGTGTCCAACAAGGACGACATGAAGACCTCTCTGAGGAAGGTGGTGAAGGAGGTGGGTGTTGGAATTGGAGAGGGAGAGGCCCTGGGAGAGGAGTGGGGTTATTTCTCACCGTTGAGTTGGGCAGGTCTTTGAAGAGGCTCAGAGTTGGGTCCTCGTGTTTGCATGGGAGGGGCGACGTGGAAGGCCCAGTATAGATACTGCAGGGAGCTCCAGAAAGCCTTAAGCTGCTGTGGGGCCTGGCCTGGGACCCAGCAGCACTCCTGGGTGGTGGGCATTGGAGGTGGGCAACAAGTGGGGCCACCTGAGATAGACTGACCCCATGTGGGGGCTGCGAGATCTCAGGTTGTGCCCCATATGAGCTCTTAGCTCCCCAGGAGTGCCAGTTCCAGAGGCAGGCTGGACTGAGTGGTTGCCAGGGTTCCCCTGACCCCCTCTGCCCTCTTGCAGACCTCCTACGAGATGATGATGCAGTGCGTGTCTCGCATGCTGGCCCACCCCCTGCATGGTGAGCTGCCCCACTGGAGACCACAGCGCGGAATGGGATGGCCCTCATGGACTAGCTGGGCGGCGGTAGACTTACGGGGAAGGGGCGGTGAGGTGGGGGTATTGCGTTGCAACCCCACTGAGGAGAGATTGGCCAGGAGTCCTGTCCAGAGGGAGCTGGGGCTCTTCCCAGGTAGAAGATGGGGTGTCGTGGCCATGGGGTGTGCTGGGAAGCCCCCCGCTCTGTGACCCAGGCCATGATGTGCAGGGGCCACTCCAGTGGGCACCCACAGCTGGCTGTCCTGGGCTCTGTGTGTTTGCGTCACGTCACCTCTGTGTGTTTTCTCTTTCCTCAGTCATCTCAATGCGCTGCATGGTTCAGTTTGTGGGACGGGAGGCCAAGTACAGGTGGGTAATTCTTCTTGGGACTGAGAGGCATGGCCGTTCCAGTCCCCATTCCGAGTCTATGAGGACAGGCCATGCTGGGCCAGTCACTGCCCCTTCTCTGCCGTGGCTCTAATGTGTTGACTTCAGGGGAACGTGGTAGTGGCCTCCATAGTCTGTGTCCAGGGGCCTTTTCTCTGTGTCTCTTGTCCGGGCTGCCCGGGACGGGCCTGGGTGCCCTGCAGAGAGGTGCGTGGGCGTGGAGTTGGTTTGGATTAGGATTCCTGGCACCAGAGCTGATTCTGCACTTAGGACTGAGCCAGGGTTTCCTCCTGCCCCCTAGGTTATGTCCTAAGGATTTCTCTACTGTCCTAGCACCTGCTCACAGCTCATTTCCTCCTCTGTCCACTGCAGCTGATTACCAAGTGCTCACTTCGCATCTGCGTGCTGCACTGCGCAGGGGGCTGGGGCAGAGGTGTGCTGACACAGCCCTTCCCTCCGGCATTATCCTTCCCTGCCCCTCAGAGGCTCAATCAGGACAGGAGGCGGATCCTGGAGGCCTGTGACAGGAGGACACGCCTCTGTTACCCTCTCTAATTCTCGTTTCCTGGGTTCTGTTGATTTCTGCTGCTGTTCTGTGGGGTCACGGCCCCAGGAAGCTTGGCTGCTATGGGGCCTCATTTTGGGTTCACTAGTGGGAAATTGGCCCATTCCCCTAGACCTGTGGTCTGCAGACCACAGCTCGCAAGCCACATGCAGCTCTTAGGCCCCTTGAGTGTGGCAGTTCCACAAATACCATGTGTGGGCGCATACGTACAAAGCGATTGAAACTTTGTGGCCCATGTGCAGAAGTCGGTATTTTGTGGAAGAGTCACACTGAAGGGGCCAAAGAGCCGCATGTGGCTTTCGAGCCGCGGTTTGCTGAACCGCAGTTTGCCGACCACTGCCCTAGACTGAAATGTGAGCTTGGCAGACGGGACCAGGCGTGGTTGTGCCACTGTTCTGAGGAGAAAGATAGTGGGGCCTGGCGGGGCCCGTGCCCTGGAACCAGCACTAGCCAAGGCTTTGGCTCCCACCGTCCCTTTTTCTCCTGGGCCACTGCCGCCTGAGGCTTTGCAGAGCCTCATGTAGGACCGGCCACTTTGCATTGCTAGCCAAGGTCACAGGGGTTGCTCTTGAGCCTGCTTTCCATTTCACACCTAGAAGCCCATCTGGTCTCCTCCAGGCCATGATGAGTGCTGGTCCCCAGGCTCCTTGCTGGGGAGGGCCAGATGCCTCCCAGGCTGCCTCTGGGCGGTCTGCTGCAGGGCCTCCTGCTGCAGGGCCCTGTGTTTCTCCTCTGCCTTCTGGGAAGGTAATTCTCGCCACTTGCCACTCCATCTGCTTCTCTACCGAAAGGTTGTTCAGCCAGAGATAAGTCTAGGGCCAGGCAGAAGTGCCCATCGTGGTGCCGTAGCCCAGGCTGGACGGTTTAGTCCTAAATTCCAGACCCACAGAAACAGTGGTTGCTAACTGCTGAGTTCTGCCCCAGTGCTGGTAGGGTTTCTCCAGTCTCTGAACTGGGTAAGTGTCCCCAAGCAAGAGCTCTGTCATCTCCACTGGGTTCTGCCTGGAAACAGAATCTCCCCTGCCTGTCCCGGCCAGGAGTCGATGGCTCTGAGCAGCGGTGGGGAGGGTAGAGGGTAGAGGAATGGGCTTCTTCAGGTGACTGAGTGACCTCTAGCCCCGTCTTGCTTTCTTTACAGCGGCGTGCTGAGCTCCATTGGGAAGATTTTCAAAGAGGAGGGGTTTCTGGGATTCTTTGTGTACGTGAGTTTATATCTCCAAAGCTGCCCACGGGCATGGCTCTGCTAACAGGCTCACTCAGCCTCTCAGGCCGCAGCTGCTGGCCTCAGTCTAACCCCAGGCCCCGCTCCCGTCTGAGTAGCTGCACTTCACAGCGCGTTCGAGCTACAGATCGTCCAGACCAGAGCTGTGCAGGCTTGTCCAGACCCGGCCCACACAGAGACGGTACTGTTTGTTCAGTGCTGACTGCACTGGCCACCCAGGCCCTGTCCATTTGCCAGGGCTGGGGGTGGGCATGGGGCTGAGCATGAGCCAGGGCACTCTATCGTCCTTGGTTTCTTTGCTGAAAAATGACTGACAATCTGTGCCATGGACTGAGGACCGAACACTGACAGCATTAGCATTCAGTGATAGCATTTCTGAGTTCTTCACGTCTGACATGTAGGGAATTTCACGTAACAATTCCTGTTTCTAAACCTGGCCCTGCTCGGCCTGTGTTTGTGCAGAGCACCTGCCAGCAGGGCACAGTGCTCCCAAGGACCACAGACCCTCTGCCTTCCTTGTGTCTCACACCCACCTTACTTTACCTGTAAAGAAAGCATACCAAAAAGACTATGTTCAGACAGAATAATCCATAGATGGAGCCCCAAAGCCGGGCCTGACAAGTGTCATCTGTTTTGTCTTTTAAGGTCTAGGCAGTGAGTGACATGTCTGTACTAAATATGGGCTCTCTATTTACTCATATTGTGGTTGTATAGTTGGTCAGGTGTTTTTATTTATGATCTAAGGTAACCAAGAAACAACTCCGCTTCTGCTCATGTGTGTGGGTGTGTCTCATCAGGAGGTGATGTTTGCCCCAGGGACGTTGGTACTGCCTGGAGACATCTTTTGTTGTCACAGCTGGTATCCAGTAGAGGCCAGGGCTGTTGTAAACATCCTGCGATGCAGAGGGCAGCCACACGAAGGCTTATTCAGCCCTAACTGTCGATAGTGCCAAACTTTGACTTACGTACACACACATATTTTTATATATACACCCATGCATATAGGCATATACACGAGCAAATATATGAGTAAATATTTGCCCACGTGACTGGTATATCAGACTTTAAAACACGACACATCACCACCTCTGGCGTTGTGGTTTTTTTAAAATATATTTTTATTGATTTCAGAGAGGAAGGGGGAGAGAGAGAGAGAGAGAGAGAGAGAGAGAGAGAGAGACACATCAATGATGAGACAGAATCATTGATTGGGTGCCTCCTGCACACCCCTTACTGGGGATCGAGCCCACACCTGGCATCTGCCCTTGACCAGAATCGAACCTGGTCAGTTTGCAGGCTGACATTCTATCCACTGAGCCAAACCAGCTAGGGCACTTCTGGTGTTTTCCACACTCATTGTATAGTGTTATTCTGGTGTGTGACGGACTCCTGTTGGTCACTTAACCTTTGGGTTCTCCTCATCTTCACGAGGGTGTGGAATAGGTGACACACGTAGATGTTACAGTTCTCAGAACGCACCAAAGGGGACGTGTGGAGAGGTCACCTGAGCGCAGGTGGAAGCAGCAGGATTAGACATTGCATTCAGGAGGTTCATTTTGTTACTATCCCTCTTAACATAGATGTGTTGCATCTAATTCTTGTGAACTTTTGAAGTATTTTGAGATACGCTTTTTAAAAACTCAAAAATCATAATTCTACTTCCCCTCCCAAGAGATAGCCATTTTTCTGGAAATCTTTTCAGGTCACTCCATATCTAAACAAACATATCTAAATAAGCACATTAAAACCACCCGCACACACAGGACCCCCGATCCTCAGTGCTGTATCTGGAGGTAGCCTCCTCTCTGCTCATCTCCGAGGCCGTCGCTTTAAAAGCTTGTGAAGTTTGCCTGCTTGTGAACATTCTGGGGGAAGACAGCATGCATTCAGCAGTGTTTTGTGAGAGTTGGTTAGGTATCAAGGCCAGGAGAAAACTACCAACATATAGGCACTCTTTCATAATCTGTATTGAAAATCCCAGATTTAGCAACATTCACATCTTGAGGCCCAGCTTCTGTGGTTTGAAAACGCTTGTGAAACCAGAAGCTAATCTGGTATCAGACGGAGCACATAACCCCCAGCCCTGGAGAAAGGAGCCCTCCTGTGTGCATAGCCGCTGGCCCCCGTGGCCCTGCGGGCTTCCTGCCTGAGGCATTGGATGTGCTGACTTTGGAGCTTGGAACATCCCTGCTGCTTCCTGGGGTGGAGCCCCCAGGAAATGCTTCCCTCTCTCCCCGGCTCATCTTTGCTCACCTTGTTTTCTAGTGGCTTAATCCCTCACCTCCTGGGAGATGTGGTTTTCTTGTGGGGCTGTAACCTGCTGGCCCACTTCATCAATGCCTACCTGGTGGATGACAGCGTGAGTGACTCCCCAGGGGGGCTGGGAAACGACCAGAATCCAGGTTCCCAGGTTTGTTGGAACAAGGACTTGTCCATCTTTCTGTGTACCTCTGATGCCCAGGGCCTAGGGCAGACTCGAGGACTCTGGGGTTCTGAGGGCTAGGGGGGCCTCTGGGGGAGCGGTCTGAGGGAAGACCTCTGTTGTCCCCAGGTCACCTTTGCCTCAGACTGGAAACCTGGAGTTTATGGAATGCCCGTCCCTGGGCAGCTTTAGAAATAAGACATCCCAGCTTATCCAAGGCTGCGTGAGTTATGACCCAACTAGGGATCCAGGAAACAAGATAGACTGACTCCCAGCAACCTTAAACTTCTGCTTAGTGTTTATGCTTTCAAAACCCTTTTGTGAACATTATGACATTTGCTCCTGACAACACCCCAGTTGTGAAGGGAGCAGGGCAGGTGTGTCATCCTCCTTCACAGATAGAGAAGTTGAGACCCAGAGGTGAAAGGGCTCCCCAGAGGCACTTGGCTGGGATTGCCAGGGCTGGGACTAGGTCTTTCCCTGTGCCAGGTAGGGGTGCTCCCCCCCTTGAGGTTTTTCACATCAACTAGGAAGCGTGCTATCCAGGAGCACCCCAGTATTGTGTTCACAGTGGCCCACACACCTGCTGTGCACAGACCTCAGCAGTTGGGTCAGGCATGGGGAGGCCTTGCCTTCTAAAAGGCACCAAGAAGAAAGGAGTCTAAGGACCTGATGGCTTGACTGATTCTTTCTGAATCAAGATGAGAGTTGGGGAACAGTGATGGGTGGGGTTCCTGGTAGCCAGCCATTGTAACAGCAGGGATTGCCAACCCCAGGAAGGAAGGTGAGGGCTTAGGGACCTGTCTGCCAGGATCACTTGGGGTGGGGTGGGGGTGGGGGCGGCAGCGAGGGCGGGGCAGAGGGTGTCATAGTCTCCATGTGTCTGTGTCTGGGCAGTTCTGTGTGTGTCTGGGCGTGTGTCTGGCGAGGAGCCCAGCCCCCACTGAGAGCCTCCGCTCAGGGAAATTGTCGGCCTGGGTAGGTGTCTTAGTGGCCTTTCAAAGTGAGCAAATTCAAAGGCGCTACAGAGACCAGCTTCCATCTGCAGTTACAGAAGCCATGGCCCTGCCCTTTCTCAGGGGCCTCGTGGGTGGGGGAGCTGCTGCTATCAGAGAGTGCCAGCTGGGACAGTTGGGGGGGGCGTAGCCCACAACTGATTGGTTCCCTCTAGTCTAGGTGGGCAGGTGTTTGACCAGGGCCTGCTGCATTTAGCCTCCAACAACAGCAGTCAGCAGCTCCATTGAAAGTACTTTTAAGTGCTTTTCTGTGTGACTTAAAGGCCAAGATGAAGCTGCCACTTGGGCAGAGGGCTGAGCAGACCTGCACCCAGGGGTGCAGGGCATCCATCTGGTGGGATGGCCGTGCCACAGCTGCTGAAGGATAGGTAGTCCTCTCTCTTGGGCAAGGTTGAGGTCTGAAGTGGGCAGGAAGCCCAGGCTTCCCCCCATTTTACTCTAGGACGGATTCTGTGCCTGGGTAGTTCAGGTGGCTGGCTCTTCTAGTCGGCAAGCACTTACTGAGCACTGTGTGCCAAACCTCAGACACTGGCCAAGGCCTCGGAGCTCACAGCCCAGTGGGGTTGCGCAGGCCAGCAGCCGGGGTCCCCTTGCCTGGCTTTCATTCCTCACCGTCCCCAGTGGGGCCACGGGAATCCCTCTATCTGGCTTTCCCACTCCTGCCTCCCAGATCTTCTCGTGGCTCTGCTCCAAGGCCAGGAAGCTGCTGGCAGGCCCCGAAAGGAACGCAGTGTGCACAGGGGTGTGAGGCCAGGGTGGGTCGGGGTGAAAGGCCAGGACCAGGCAGCGTGGCAGGGATCTGCGTGTGCATCCCGAGGTGTCTGTGGCAAACCGGTCTTCCTTTCTGTCTCCTCAGTTCAGCCAGGCCCTGGCCATCCGCAGCTACACCAAGTTTGTGATGGGGGTAAGTCAAGTCAGCCACCCTTCCCACTGCCCCATGGGCCTGGGAGGGGCTGGGGAGGGCAGCTCTGGTGGTGGCTGGGGGCCGGCCGTGGTGTAGGAAGTTGGCACAGTGTGCCCCTGCTCCCTGGGCCCAGGTGGGGCTGGCGAGGGGTCACTGACATGCAGGTCTCCTGGGTTTCAGATTGCAGTGAGCATGCTGACCTACCCCTTCCTGCTGGTCGGTGACCTCATGGCTGTGAACAACTGTGGGTAGGTGTGCGCCCCTCCACCAGGCACTCTGCCAAGGCTGCTGGGGGCACCCAGCTGAGCCCGTCCAGCGCTCTGCCCCCTCCCATCTGGGCCTGACATCCCGCCTGGCACCCTGGCTCCTCTGGGTTCACCACACCCTTTGGGGTGACTGGTTCAGATGTGGGTAGTGGCAGTTCCAGACCTTTCCTTGGTGATCACCTCCCGGGCTATCTGGGTCTAACATGCTCCCCTTCCCTGGCAGGCTGCAGGCCGGGCTCCCTCCCTACTCCCCCGTGTTCAAGTCGTGGATTCACTGCTGGAAGTACCTGAGCATGCAGGTGAGCTTTGTGGGTGCTTCACTGCGTGGAAAGATGAGGGGTTGCCATGGAATCCAGTGTTGTGAGGAGGATAAAGAGAATGTAAATGTAGACTTGGTTTAAGACATTTAAATTGACTTTTCACTTTATTTTAGGATTTGAGGTAGTTAGATCTGAGTTCACTTAAAAATTTACATCAGAAAAAGTCCCCTTTTCTTCAACTCTTAGAGACTCTAGATCAAGTGAGGGGGGCACGGGGAGGCAGCACACACCGTCTGACACCTCGATGAGACGCTGGAGATGGAGCCGTGGGGTTGGGCCACGAGCCCTCCCGCGGGACACCCTGGTGCCCAGGAGAGCCTGAGGGTGGACCTGGGCCACGTGGTGAGCCTGGTGAGGGGCAGGCTTGGGGTTTGGTGTTGCCCCAGCACCTTCCTACTGGCTGGAGCCCTTGGGCCCCCAAGTCAGGGCTCCTGGTGTCTAGGGCAGACCCTTGCCTTCCTAGCCTTGATTTGCCTTGTGAATGGGGCAGTGCCTGGGTAGAGGCCGTGCACAGGCTGACCTCGGGTTAGGGAGAGGACAGATGGGAGTGGGGAGCGAGGCCAGAGCCGGGCGCAGTTCTTCCCAGTGAGCCAGTGCGTTCCCTGTGCGTCACGTCCTGTGGGCAGTGGAGGAGCCCCGGACCAGAAGGATGCTCCTCTTGGGGGGTGCCTGCTGAGTAGCCCATCAGCAGTGGACACCCTGTGGCATGAAGTGGCCAGTGAACCACTTCAGCACAGGGCCGGTTGTGACCTTGCCCTTCCGGAATGCAGCCTCGGCCCTGAGCTCTGAGCTGCTGGGCCCTTCGCCTCACACTGGCCTTGCTCGGGGCAGGGTGTGAAGGCGGCCTCCCCTCTCACTGACCCGACTGTTCCTTCCCATCCAGGGCCAGCTCTTCCGCGGCTCCAGCCTCCTTTTCCGCCGGGTGTCATCAGGATCGTCCTTTGCCCTGGAGTAACCTGAATCACTAAAACCGCGGCTCAGCCTGGCCCTCTCAGCCTGGCCACCGCGGGTGGGGCCTGACCAGCTCGGGCCCTTGTAAGACGACTCCAACCCAGCAACACCTAGATGTGCTGCAGCCCAGCTGGGCTTCGGCGTCCATGTTTGCCTTGTGTCTGTCCAGAGGCGGGGTTGAGTGGGGTGAGGCTGCACCCAGGGCCCGGTCACCCGTTAGACCTGGGGGAGGTGGGGCTGGGCTGGAGAACGGGGCAGAATCCCCTTGCTTCGCAGTTGTACCAGGTCTGCCTGTTGCGGGTCAGAGGCTGCAGAGGCCCAGGTCGGATGGGAAAAGGCTCTTGAGGTCAGGTCCCACCCCACTCACCCCAGTCAGCCCCAGCTCCCCCTGCAGCTCAGCTGGGAGCACCACTCTCCTGCTTGTAAATAGGGCGTGATCCCCCGCCACGAGCCACCCACCATCATGCCACCTGTGCTAGAAGCTGTGGCTGGTTCTGCCTTGGTTTTCTCAACACTACTTTCCAATGGGAAGGCAGCACCTTCTGAAAGGGAAATCACGTGGCCGCTCAGAATGTGTCCCTCATCGAATGCGCACCTGCTAATGGTGACGGCGTGTGCGGGATCTGGTTCCCTGTGCACTTGTGAACACTCAGAAGTTAGGCAGGTCAGTGCCTCTAGTCCTACCCAGTTTAAAAGTCCCTGATACGATTAGACCGTTTCTTCCTCAAATAAATGTACTGGTGGTGATTTGGAGTTTTGTGGGGAGCCTCTTACTTGGATCTTTCTCAGTTCTTGGTGTTTGTGTGAGGACGTGCTGTAGAGCGGCAGGGCTGAGGCAGCGCAGCCTGGGATGAGAAGTGCCAGGCTCGGTGTAGGTCAGCCACCCGGGGTGGTGGGCGGGGTGGAGGTGGGGGACAGTTTCTGAATCAGACTGGCCAAGATGCCGTTCACAGATCAACAAGCGGTGTGTAGGCCTGTCACTAGGGAGACATCCCTTCCTTTAAAGGCTTCCCAGCTTCCAAAGGTGTTCCTCCCAAACGCCTGACTCATCTCTGCACCATCTGTGGGTGGCGTTTGCAGTTTTTACTGTTTACTGAGTGTAGTGGTCACATGGTGACAGCAGAAGGGGCCGACGTGGGCCCAGCTGAAGCACCAAGCCCTGTCTCTTCCGTTCACTCTGCCCAGCGCCGGGGTCTGGCGACAGGCAGAACTTACAAATGGGCGGTCCAGGCCTGGAGACCCTGGGCTTCCATCTGGTGGGGGTTGAATGCCAGGGGCGGACTGGCCTGCTTCCTCCGTGTTTCTTGCCCTTGCTCTGGCCTTGTGGTCTGGTGACTTTGGTCATGTCCTCACAGGTATGGGCGGGTCACCCCCAGGGAAAGCCCTGGGGTGCTTCTGCAGGACTGGTGTTCCCCAGTGGCCGAGTCACAGTTGACTGGAGAGCAGTTTATTAAGGATCCTTGTTCCCCAAGAAGACATGCCTCAGTGGGTGCCCTGACTCACTTCAGATGCTAACGGTAGCAGGGGAGGGGAGCGTGTGGGCCAGGTGAGGGCCCCCTTCCCCCTCCCCGGCATCATTTCTTTAGAGAAGGCAGGTCCTTCAGGGGTGAGTCTGCCTCAGGCATGTGCCTTTCTCCAGCCCAGCGTGTTTCCCACAGTTTCC